CACGAGGGATGATCAGTGCTGACTCAGAGACCCCTTGACATTCGACGTCATTTTCAGGCACTGGAGAAGTCCCTGGAGCCCCGTTTGTGATGCGTAAAGACCCAAACTTCATACCACCTAACTGCTTGTAGTCGGCTTCAACTGGAGTAACGGCTCGGTCCGAAGACTGCACTTGAGAAGGGATCGTCGTGGGCATTGACATACGCCTTGGCAGACCAGACTCGATCGAATTACGCCTGGACTGGCTGGGAGTCGGTGGGAGACTCTTGCGGAAGTTCGACTTGACTGAGACTGGGTGCTTGGAATGGTGAGCTCTGGTCGCTATTCCTGGTGTCTGAACAACGGAGCGCCGGCGCATTGGCATGTAAATAGAAACGTCTGAGTTTGTTCTGCTAATAGACGAGCCTGCAGATTGATTGGCGTTGCTGAGGTCATCCGTCACATCATGGCAAGTCTTATCAGAATAGAGCGTGGACTTGGAGATGATGGGCTCGCTTGGGAGCTTCTCTTTGGCATTGATAAGCTGTTTAGCATCGGCAGCTCTCGTATCCCAGGTGGTGGAGCCACGACGCACTGCAACAGGCATGCTATTTCAAGGAAGTCAGCTCTATTTATCAACACGAATAGACAGTGTTGCACGAACCTATCAGCACGCGTGAGCGCACGGTAACCGCTATCCTGAGCGATAGAGCTGGTCCTAGAGCTGTTGATGAAGCTTGGCAGTCTAGGGGACTGCTCTGACTGGACAGAGCGCGTCCGTGGGATAGGATCGAGCTGGTGGTCTCTACATGTAGGAGATGGCATAGGATTGGCAGCTTCACCGGCTTGGATTGCTATACCGAGCCCTGGCGCCACTCTCCTCGTGGAGGAGGCCTTATTGGGAGGAGGCGGCAGCGAGCCAACAATATACGAGTTGGAGAAGTGCTCGCGATGGGGTGTCACAGCAGTAGCATCGTATGGCAAACCAGTTGCTGATGTTTGGCTGCAGTGAGGTGGCTTGGATAGTTTCCGAGGCCCGCGAGGGGTTTCGGCGGATTGTTCATTGCCCATTGGACCGATGCTTTAAATCCTGAGGTCGTGAGATGCTATCGGAAGCAGGAGAGGCTGGGTTCTCGGAAGAAAACTTGTAAGGCTCCCTCGATGAGCAAAATATGACCGTTCACTGGTACATAGACGCCTCCATGCCGTCAAACACGAACTGACCCCGTCTAGCGTACAGTCGCGAGGAAGGATGAGGGCGAAGAAGGTGTATGGAGGAGCAATTGTAAGTAAAGCTTGGTTGATTGTTTAATCTAATTGTTCTGGGCACGAAGAAGTGAAAGTAAAAGAAGGCTGAGAATATAAGAGATGAGAAGAGTAAAAGAATGGGAAAAAGAGGTTGGATGGGCGGGAAGCTAGGTTTAAAGATCCATGACAGTTTTGGCGGAGTTGAGAAGCAGTTAGTAGTAAATCGCGTAAATCGCATGAGGGGAACTCCCGGACAAGGAGAACCTGGCTGTTAAGGTGTGATCCATGTCCGTGAGGGGTGAGACCAAACCAAAGTTACCAAGTTGAGCAGGGGATGGATCATGTCGAGTCGAGACAAGACGAGACGAGACGCGAGCATCAACAAAGCCAAGAATGAAGCAGCCACTGCCACAGCCGAACAGGATTAGAACGGAGAGTATTGCGGAGTAGTGCTGATGTGACGAGACGAATACAGCAACGGAGATACAGGCAGGGAAAAGAGGAGATGGATCGAAGCTTGTGTCTTTAACCCGGAAGAGACGAAACTCTGAGTTTCTCCAAAGCTTGGACTGGGGGGGTCGCGAATGAAACCATGAATGATATGACGGGAGAGAGTGGAGATGAGTTGAACACCTCAGATGCTAGCTGCATTACTCTCCACTATACGGAGTAGTAATGATTAATCAGAAGATAACAGCCTCTAGGGCCTGCCTAACTCACCTACGGAGAGTCGGAGACTAGGTAGCATGGTCAGCGGGTTGGCGGTTAGCGGACTACCTTCCATGACCCTAGGTTAGTAGTAGGTAGAGGCTACTAAGCTAAGGCAGCTAAGGCGGGCAGCACTAGTCAAGGCCCTTAATCGATACTTCCGATCCATCCTAATACGATTGATTGGACGTGGACTTGCAACTGGATTGCACGTTTCGTCAACCGCCCAACAACCAATCAATCAATCACAACTCCAATTATGCATGCGATTGACTTTGGGGGAAATGCTCGATTCACACTACCTCTTTGCTTGTTTGTTTGTCTGTCTGTCTGCCTGTCTGCCTGTCTACCAGCCTGTCTGCCAAGCCAAGGTTTCAATGCATCTCACAAGACAATACGGATACCCGTAATAACAACTCATCTCACCATTCATGCATCGGGAGGCTGAGTTGGGAGGCTTGAGAAGGAAACCCAATTGACCAGCCTTGCCTTGATGATTTTCACTGTAAGCATGGTCTGAGGTTACTAGGTTACCTCTTGATTAGGTTTCTTCCACACGGGATGGAGTCTTTAACTTTTTTTTGTCTCTGACCAACTAAGCTATCTTAGTATATATCTGACTATATGCTTATATGCAGTGACGTGACGCAGTCAACCTAGGTTAGTATTTTACGAGAATTGAGTTACAAGCCTGCAGCCTACTATAAGGTACTTACCTATAGCCTCAGCCAGCCAGCCCACGCCCACGCCCAAGCCCACGCATCGAGCCCATGAGCATGGATCGATGCTTGTGATGCGGAATGGCAGGTACTCAGTAGATCCAAACCGATCAGGTCTTGGGTTTTCACGCAATGGCTGTCAGCGAAATCATGCTGGTGAAAATCATCATTTCAGAGTTCAGACGCCAACGGTTATAGCATGGCACTGACCAACTATAGCACTCCCAGCACCGCTCTTTTCTCATTACAGGCTTACTGTTAGCGGAAATAAGCCCCGGTCGGTCTCTTTCTCGGAAGCCTTGTTTCGTGTTTTGTGCCATTTCCTCTGTCTCGTTTTGTTCATCATCCCAGAGCTGACATGACGCTGTCTAACGGAGGGCTGAGCTGCAGCATTACAGACTTGATTTGACTGCCTTGCCACTGTCACTCTTACTGTCACTGCAGTTGTCACCTCAAGGTAAACAAGAAAACAAAACCACGACGAGACGCGCAAGCCGTCCGAGCGCTTCCGTCGTGGATACGATGCTGATGCTGTATCATCGGAATCGACATGTTGTAGCAGTGTAGCAGTGTAGCAGTGTAGCCAGACCGACGGGCACCAACACCGACAGACAAGACACTCTGCTTGATGCGATACATGCATACGTACATAAAGTATACACGATACGATACGATACGATACGATACGATACGATACTGCATCTATGGCTGCAGCATGATTTCTCCATGCCGTCACCTTGTCATGTTGAACAACAAAAGCTCCACCCAAACCAAAAAACCCAAAAGCAGCCCGCTTCAACTCAACGCCTTAATCCACGATCCACAATGCAAACGCACATACCACTTGTACCGGAGCGTTTCAAATGCTCCCAACGTACGACCCACGAGGAGAACAGCAGCTCCGGTCCAGACCGAGTGAGGAGAGAGCCCGTTGTAGCCTGTACCTAGTCCTCGACCAAGTGAGACCACCATTCTCCGCTTACTATAGGTACCCAGGTACGATAACTACTATACAAGGAATCATTATACAACGCAAATCAAGGCTTTTGGAGATTATATGATACTTTTCCAAAACTTGGCCACGGTTGCAATCATTGAACTTTGATTTGTTTATCCGCGCGTCCAGCCACACGCGCGCTCGCCATGTTTAGACTCCACGACGTCTTGCTGACCAATTATCTAGGCATAATCTTTCAACATCCATCACCACTTGTTGAGTGCGCTACGGAGTACGGGCTACGGAGTAGTAAACTCACTTTTGCCAACGATTGGGTACTTCTGTCAAGCTCAAAAGCAGATAGACTTCAAAAACCGGCAGATACCATCAAGAATTGAATCTACAAATGCTAAAAGCGTGTTGCATTACACAGCATCTCTCCAACCCCCCGCAAACTTCCAGATTCAACGCGCGTACCATCTCAACACTCAAAATGATGCTTATCACGATCAAGCATACAAAGATGATTGCCCGCTAATATTGAAGGTAAATCATAGCATAACATAGCATCGGTTTTACCTTTCCCATATTGGCAGCTCGGCTCCTGAAGGTTAGCCTGGCTAGACTCCCCTCGCGTTTCCTCATGAGAGCGAATTGGCCCAACCTCTTCGCTACATATACAGTTCTATATCCGTACTCCGGATGACGTTACACGAAATGAGACGTTTGGTGTGGGGAAGTGTTATGGTCCCAAGGTCCCATTCATCGGATGGCGGCCGAAGATAGGATCCCATCCCATCCGACATGGGTTCATCTCTCAAATATCCGAATTGGTCAAACAGGCCTGTCTCATGGGCTTTTGTTTCCAACTCATAATCTTGGCGACCCTACCAGAGCTGCTCTTAGAAGACGCCCGCCTCCTCCCGTTTCTGTTCTCAAGACTGAACCAAACTCAATGGTATGCTGACAGGTTAGCAACAAACCGAGTGTAGTTGTCACACCATATCGTCGCATCATAGTGCAGCAAAACACGGAATGATAGCACATGGAAATTCGCAAGTCGCACCATCAAATTCTCCGGGATCGACATGCAACCGTTCATCCACAGACCGTCTACTACATGCCATTGGTCGCCATTTGCAGATGCTCATGACTCCACGACGCAGCAGCAAACTCTCGACTCATTTTCACATGAATTACCAACCTCTTCACTATTCTCTCGCGACCGCTTTCTCCTCTCGCCTCTGCTCTACAGCCTGCCCAGCCTAAGTATCCACAACCATTACCACGGCCCTTCCTGTCTGCATCTGTCTGACATTGGTGCCAAATGTTCTTCCGGCTGCGACGTGGCAGATTCCATTCCCGAGGCGCGAATATGCCATATTTGGTCACCGCCATTCAACAAATTCGGGCGAATGGTTTAGTGGTATAATACTCCCTTAGCATGATTCATTCTGCCTTAACTGGGAGTGGTCCAGGGTTCGATTCCCTGTTCGTCCAACGTAGGTGGTTAAATTCCACCAATTCCACAACTTTTTGTGGTTTGTTTTTGCTCTTCGAGCTGCCAACTCTCAAATTGGTTGACTTCAGGGTAGGTTAAAGTGATGCCATGGAAGTTTCCGTTCAAAGTGATATACACTTTGGATGGGCTTTGATATTATGTACGAAGTAGATGTGGTATTCTGTTAATCCCGAACAAATATTGTTTTTCCTTATTGATGGTTGGATTGATCATAGTAAGTTACAGCTGGCAGACTGTTTACTCCCCTATCACCATAGTACATCCGCTTCCTCCTATCATAACCTCATGGACTCGTCCAGCGTCGACGTCAATACGTGACCCAACACCATAGACCTGCTTCTGATTGTTCTCTTCCTGAGGATACCACAATGTTATCGAGCCCTCGATAATCAAGTGGGTCGTGAGAGCAGCATGCGAGTGTGGTGGATAGTGAGTGTTTCTGCAACAGGTTAGGAACGACATGGATCTTTTCAACGAGGCTGTGCAAGAAGAGCCTCATTTCATGAAGGTCGTGGCAGTGAAAGGGATGAAATGACATACGGGGAGTCACTCCAGGTGACAACGCGCTCGAAACCCCATGCTCGGACCTGTTCTTCGTATTCATTCCTGAAGCTCATGATGCTGCTGTCGCTGTTTTGGTCTCTGGTGAATTCGTATTAACAAAAAGGTCCAGCAACATGTACAAAAGAGTAATGCTGCTTACTCCGTACTCTGGCTGGTAAAATAGGATACGTTGCTATTAGATATCGCAATTTACCGTATGTTCGTATGTCTTTGCAGAATTGTCCTTTGTTACGGTGTCTAGGGTGTTGACATATCTTAAAAGGACATACAGAGAATACGGAGTAGTGACGCTGACATTAGACGTGGTCAAGCTATGACCTCACATCCTTTGAGATATGGCTTCGACCGACTGCGCCCCGCCCGGCCCCACTCGCCCCGACCCAGGTGAGAGCGGCCCGGGACAGACCCGTTAGTTTGGGCGTTGGATGCTTGGACTGGAGGGTTAAAATGGGGGTCGTGCCTGGGCTAACATGAGCAAAGACAATACTTCGTATTCATGCCATCTTTTTAAAGATTAACATATTTGTTCCATAAGCCTTATTATTGAGGGAAAAAACAGGGCTAATGATAATGCACAACAACGCAGAGCAGTACAATGTAGCACAGCACAGCACAGCACAGCCTCAGATCCATCATGCTGCTGCTCTCGTTGTTAAGCAGTCATCCTAGATCAGAAAGGGCAAAAGAGCCATCGCCATGATGTTGCCCCATATTGTGATGATGCTACCCTCCAGTCTCCAAGCAAGCAGACGGTAATCACTCACCTCTCCAATCACAATTTGGCCCCCAAGCCTCCACGGTGCAACTTTTTCTCAGCCCTGAGCCTCTGTGTCCATTCTCCTCCCCAGTCGCCCCTGTCCGAACCCTCCCCTAGGGCTATGCTGCAGCACGCTAGTAAGACCTGGACTCGCCCGTTAGCCTGGTTTGGTACTGGGGATACCCGCCTAATATCGCCTATCAAGTGGGCGTGCTGACATCCAGCTTGTTCATTTTGTCCCTGCTGTTTCTTTCCCTCCTTTCAATTCATTCTCACCTTGTCACGTCCCACATGGGAATCTGTAATCTCTCGAATTGCTTCAACTGTTAAGGATTGATATTCTCATGCGATAGAACTCAAGTTGGCCGGCTTTTCATGTTTGGTTGAACCAAAGGGGCAATCGCCTCGCTTCCAATGGTCCCCGCTGTCTGATTATCGCCGACATCGCCAGCTTCAAGCCTCAATTCACTTCTGGAACGATAGCCTGTCACCATGTCGCTCTTCTGCGGCCTCATCGTGAGTGGTATACGCCTCTGGACTCTTTTTGTTGCAAACACTGACATGCGAATCCAGCGGCGCCGCAGCGCAAAGGACGACAAGCCTAGGCGCGCGCACACCATGTCCATCTTTGGCAACACCAACATCCAAGCAATCAGTGCCCTCAAAGGCATGGTTCGCTTCACAACCGCCGCTTCTCCGGCTCCCATGCACGGCTGGGAGAAGCCGACGACACAGAAAGCTCCGCCGACTGATGAATGCTCCAGCCAAAACTCAACTCAACACGCGCCAATCCCTGATATCGATATACCCGACATTCATATCACCACCGAGATGCACGAAGCCCTCGACCGTACGTACGATGACCTGCGAGGATCCGAGCCCAGACTCTCCAGAGCCAAGTTTGCCGAATTCTTGCGAACTGTCCAGGGCGAGAGCGAGAGCGCGGTCAATGAGCTGGCTAGAGAATATTATACTCTGGGAGATTTCAAATACACTTGGGTTACCGATTTCTCATGGGACGCCACGGGACCCTTGCCTGAAAAGGATCTTTCCAAACCTCTCACAAATTACTTCATCAGCAGCAGCCACAACACTTACTTGGTTGGGAACCAGCTTGCCTCGTTAAGCAGAAGTTCGCCCGAGGCATATAGAACCGTATGTTACAACAGTGCCACCCTGACAATATGTTTCGAGAAGGCTATGACTGACTTAAGTTACTCAATAGGTTCTCCTTCGCGGATGCCGATGTATCGAGATAGATGTATGGAATGGCGATACTATCATACCCACAACAAGCGAGAGGTCCGCCAAAATCGACCACAAGCGTGGGTTGTCAGGCGAATCTTTCCCCAATGTTGCTACAACTGTTATCGAGAAGGTCGAAGACTATCTTAGTGAGAAAGCTGCCAATCGTGCCCGTAGTACTAGCTTTGGAAGCCGAAGTTCTTCTCCAAGATCGAGTCTAAATCAGATCCCATTGGAAACCCGAGAGTCTGGCGATCGTCTTGATGTTGCGAAGCCTCCCGCCCCACGTCCTAGGCAAACATTTCCCAAGGATGAGCCCATTGTGACCCATGGATGGACACTCACCGCGCCATGTGGTTTCCGAGAGGTCTGCAGAGCCGTCGGCGAGTCTGCATTTGTTGATAATGATCTTCCCATCATTGTCAGCCTGGAGGTACATGCCGACGAGGACCAGCAAGAGGTCATGGTCAGAATTATGAAGGAAGAATGGGGCGAAATGCTTGTTGATAAACCATTCGATGATACCGGCCCCAGATTGCAGCTACCCAAGCTAGACGAGCTGCGGAGAAGGATTCTTGTCAAGGTCAAGAAGGCTCCTGCGAAGATCGTGGTGCCACCGAGCACCATGGATCTGCCTGCTATATACGCAAATGACGAAGATGCATCTGGGTCTGAGGACGAGCGCCCATCACAATGTACGGGACCGTCTTTGTCAGGCACGAACAGCACCTTTTCTTCACAACCGAAGGCCCCCAGTTCCAAGGTAAATATATGTGAGAACCTCGGCAAGCTGGCTGTCTACACACGTAGCCAGCACTACAAGGGCCTTGCAACCAAGGAAGCAAAAATCCCTGCGCACATATTCTCTATCAGTGAGAATCGCATCCTCGAATTACACCAGAAGCAACATCGCGACATGTTTATCCATAACAAGGGATATTTCATGCGCGCCTTTCCCGCTGGCCGGAGGTTCGATAGCTCGAACCCAGACCCGAGCCTCTTTTGGCGTGGCGGCGTCCAGATGGTGGCCATGAATTGGCAGTATCTCGATGAAGGCATGATGCTTAACGAGGGCATGTTTGCAGACGAGAAAGGCTGGGTCCTGAAACCTGAGGGTTACCAGAGCTCCAACAAATCTGCAGAGACCCAAACTGAAGCCACGCCAGGCCATACTATGAACCTGACAATCACTGTTCTCGCCGGTCAGCACATTCCAATCCAAGCTGGCGACGCAGGCGATGCCAGCCGCTCTGCTAGCACCTTGCGTCCATTGATCAAGGCGGAACTGCATGTTGATAAGCCCACCGACACGGAGCGTGATGGATATACGCAGGAACACAAGTACAAAGACAAAACGGATGTCGGCAAGACGGATCATCCCGATTTTGGGCCCCATGGCTCATCCCTCAAGTTCCTTAACATTCCCAAGGTGGTAGAGGAGCTCAGTTTTATCAGGTAAGTTGACCAAATGTTCATTCTGTCATATTTCAAGATACGCTCTTTCACGCCCTGCTGTTGAACCGCCTGCAGCACACTGTCAATCGCGGGCGTGCCGTAGAAGCACCGCAGTCGGTATCACGCAGTCAAAGACCTTGCATCACAGCGGTGAGCTATGCCAGCAACAACGGCATGCCGCTTTGCTCGAACGTCACATGCTAGAATCAAGTACCGCTCAAGACATGCCGTACGATAGCACACAGACCTCCTGTTCCTCTGTGCAGGGTGTAAATCTGGGACCCTAACTCAGTCAATCCTCTGTGCGGTCGTGTTTGACCCCAGGTGGTGACGAGTGTCGATCACCCGAGCTCGATCGTTCAGGAGGTCCGCTCCCTGGCGGAGCGGCACGAAACGCTTGTTGGTTCGCATGACACTAACGCAGCCTTTTCTCTAGGTTCAAGGTCGAAGACGATTCTTCCAAAATCGGTAGTTCGCCGCTTCTTGCATGGGCTTGCATTCGTCTAGACCGTCTCCGCCCTGGATATCGATTCATCCGACTTATGGATTGTAAACCCCGCGTTATACCAGGCGGCAAGCTTTTGGTCAAGATCGAGAAGACGCTGGTATGATGCACAGTAGAGTGCCTATACTGGACTTCGACGTCTAACGGTACTCGTGTGCTGTAGCAACTTTCTGGCATGCGCATGTCATAGCCATATTGCGTGGCAAGACAACATTGTTGGCCGTCTGCTAGGTCACAGCTAGCTTGACTGTTTAGTAATTTGTCGTGCATCCGTCATCTTCCGAGTTGACTTCAGCGAAAGAAATTCTCGACCAGTGAAGACCAGCAACGGTGCGAGGTTGTGCATGTGCATGGGCTTTCTTGGAAAAGGAATGGATAAACTGTACTCATTTTGTTTTCGTGATATGGTGTTTGGTCAATCGTGGTACGGTAATAGGTACTTTGGATAGATT